AATATCTTCATACACTTGCTTAAGGTAAGTTAGCTTCACTAGTGCTGGGGGAAGCACACCATCAAGTTCCTGCCCCGTAAGATACCTGCATGATAAGGATCCGCATATTATAAGTTATGAATGTTGTGTTAAATTCAACTCAATGTATCCAACTGTTTTGGGTTGCATACTTCAGCTATTGCAGTTGCAGCATTGATCAATAACCATCACAAGGAAAATAATGCAGAAATTATAAAAAGTATGGCTTGTAAAAGGTGCATACATGCTTTGGATGTGGCATACATTGCCAGTGAAGGAGCAATTGCAGTTGCAGCATTGATCAATAACCATCACAAGGAAAATAATGCAGAAATTATAAAAAGTATGGCTTGTAAAAGGTGCGTACATGCTTTGGATGTGGCATACATTGCCAGTGAAGGAGCAATTGCAGACGAGAGTGTTGTTGTACTGATCCGTATGTGGGGTTGAAAAAGTTGGAACATTGCTACATGGGTCGCTGAAATTCCAGTCCTTTTTATTCAGTTGTTCAGCTATTTCACGAAGGGCATCCACTGCCACCACACCCACATAAACAAAAACAAAATCACAAATCATTTTTTCAAAAACAAGACCAATGGGTAAAGTTTATTTCTTTTAGGTTTCCAACAGGCATTATAAGGATTGGCAAATAGTGGAGAAAGGGGAAAAAAAGATTTCCACTAATTTTTTTCTTTTTCCTATCAAACTGTCGAACAATCAACACTCTTAAAAAACAAAGCGTGTGAACTTAAAATCACAACAAAAAGCACTGAACTTTTTAAGTTTCATGTATAATCTCTGTTTTTCAGATGAATGAAACAATAACTTCACATATATGTCACTTCAAAGTTCAAACCAAGAATCAAAGTAAGAGCCCTCACCTTCATCATCTGCAAGAGTCCCCGCCTGTGCTTGGGATTTGGTGGGTCCAATACACAAAAGCAGAGTGAGCAGAACAACATAGCTGAAGAAGTAGATGAGCTTTGAAATATCAGGACTTTTTGCCATTTTTCTCCGGCACCCACTTGACGTTCCACAAGCTCTGCCACCTCTGTCCGCAGAGTTCGTATCAACCTTGAAACGAAATGAAACAAAGGATTATTATTAAATTTCTTTTACCTTTCAAACCCACCGTTCGGATTATGTGAAAGAACTTTGATTAGTAAACGTTGGTCTAAATTAAATATCCTTATTTTGACCTTTGGTAGGACAACATGCCTAATCCTGCCCCACGTATTTTGACCTTTGGTTCGAGGAATGCAAAGTGTAAAGTGAATGAGAGCGAGACCAAACATGATTAGATTCTGATTGGTCGTGGTCAGTTGAAACAGATTCGACCCAAAAAAAGATATACAAATTTATAAATAAACCCAATTCTAGACATGTATTTATAAAAAAACCCAAGCATTATTTAAACATAGAAACACACCCAAAATCAACATCAAAGTCAACTTTCTAGGTGTGTTTATAAATGGGTTTTGAGTGTGTGTAATGATGGGTTTTGGGTGTGTTTATATGTTTAAATAGTGCTTGGGTTTTTTTATAATTTCAGCCCCCATTTTGGGTGTTTTAATGAAACTCCCTTTTATTGCCAAAAACAGGAAGTGGATTCGTACAAATTTGAACAAGACAAATTCAATGTATTCATTCGACATTCATAATCTCAACTTTGAATTTTAACATATGCGACAAGAAAGATAGACTTGAGTATATCATATATTAAAATAAGAGAGGCGAGTTTTTATGCTTATAAATTCTATTTTGGAATTTCTGAAGAGAGTTGACAGGTGCATTGCATTCGCATCCCATTAGGGCTCGTCAATGGGCCGGGCCGGGCTAGGCCCGGCCCAAATTTAACGGGCTTGGGCCGGGTCGGGCCGGGCTTTAAAGAGGAGAGAGAAAATATCGGGCCGGGCCGGGCCGGGTTTTTTTAGAAAATTCAAAGCCCAAGCCCGACCCATAGGTCGGGCTTGAGAAAGTCCATTGGGCCGGGCTGGGCTAAGCCCAACGGGCCGGGCCGAAACGGGCCTACTTCATTCGAAAAAAATCATAAACTTAATTATAAGGCATTTTAGTCTAAATTTGAGATTAAACTCACTTAATTCCAATATTTTCACATCAAACCAAATTCATAAAATACCCAATAAAGTCACACAACTTAATAAGATTTTCCACAAAAATAATAAAACAAAGTATTATTTTTTAGGTTATTACATAATTAGACCGTAATACGTTTTAAGAAATAATTTTAAAAAATAATAAGTATCAAAAAGATATTTTTTTTAAAGGATGGTATAAATAAATATGTAAATGTTTGGTGATGTGTTCAAGAAAAAATTATTATATTTGGTGGTAGTAGTACGATTATGTTTCGTGATATGATTATATTTAGTGATATGATATATTGTTCATCTTATTTATATATATATATATAATTGTTGTATAAATAATTGACACAAATTAATGTGCTAATCATCCAATTATAAATTAGGAATGAGTAAAGAAAAGTAAATGAAATGAAACAAATTATATATGTGATTTAAGTGATATAATCCTAATCCTAAACTCTTATTTATACATAATTATATATGTATGCGGGCCTAACGGGCCGGGCTTTTGTGGGTGGGCCGGGCCGGGCTTTCTTGGGCTTAATCGGGCCGGGCCTATGGGCCGGGCCGGGCTTCAAACACCCAAGCCCAAGCCTAGCCCGGCCCAAGGCGGGCCGGGCCATCTCAAAGCCCATAACGGGCCGGGCCGGGCTTTTTTCCAATGGGCCGGGCGGGCCCCCATCGGCCCATGAGCCCGCGGGCCAAATGATGAGGCCTACATCCCATTATAAGTTGTTCACACGATAACTCTGCACTGGGTACATACATTACATTAGTTCAATTATTGGCACAATAATTTATTGGAAACTAATTTTCTAGGTTTTTTATTAAAACATTTAATACTAATTATTAACTAAAGAAATAATAATTAAAACATAATTATCAATGAAAGTATTTAAATAAGGCTAAGATATTATTTAATTAGTAAAAAAGAATATTTTAAAAGTATAGCCACGCGGATATACACTGTAAATAGAATTTAAATAGTATAGCCGCCCAGCTATACCCTTGGAATAGCATAATCTTAATTTCTCTTTTTTAATTACTTTATTTAGTAGTTATGTTTTAATTATTATTTACTCAGTGAATAATTAGTATTTAAATATTTGATTAAATAAAATTTTAAAAAATTTTAAAAATAATTACCATTTATTAAGTTAATTAAAATATTTAATTATTCACTACATAAATAATAATTAAAACATAATTAAATAAGTCTAAGATATTATTTCATTACTAAAAATATAATTAAAATTAAAATTTATTGCACCTAAAAATACCAAATTTATAAATAAAATCTCTCCCGACGAATTTTCGTTGACACATGTATATCCCTGCGAAATTTGCCTGATTAGACTTGCCCTTACGAATTACAACTCTGCCGACGCGGGGGAAGTCTAATTCGGCAAATTTCACCGGGATAGACCTGTGCCGGCGAAATTTCGTCTGGAGAGGTTTTCTAGCATTTTCTTAAATTTTAAACATATAAAATTAGTTTCTTTACTTTTATTTTTGGGCCAACTTCTTTAGTTTAATAAGATATTATTTTTTAATTACTTTAATTGATAATTATGTTTAATTATTAATTCTTTAGTGAATATTTAAATATTTACTCATTTCATAAATTACTTAATAAATAGTTATAAAAAATTTGGGGACTTTGCTTTAAATTTTTGTTTTCACAAAATTAGTTTGGGTAAATCCAAGTCTTGAACCAAAAACCCTAGCTTTCGAAATTGTTCCAAAACCTTTCTCAAGCCTCGAACCCTAACCATGAGCCTACAAAAGAGTAGATACTTTCTCCTCTTTTCCAATGTGGGACTCAAGTTCATATATTTCAATCAAACTCCAACAAGTAGTTGATATTATCGAATCATGTTGTGACTTGGATTTAAGTTTCGAGGCTAAAATTCATTGTTGGAATACTAAAATATTTGGGTACTAAAACTAAATTTCTAGGATTTTTATTAAAATATTTAATACTAATTATTCACTAAAGAAATAATAATTAAAACATAATTATTAATGAAAGTGTTTAGATAAGGCTAAGATATTATTTAATTAATAATAAAAAAATTGAAAATGATATTTTAAGAGTATCGCCGCTCGGCTTTACTGTTCTGTTTCAAGAGTATAGCCAGACGGCTGTACTCTTTAAATAGAATTTTAAACGTATAGCCGCTCATATATAGTATTTAAATAGAATATTTTTAAAAGTATAGCCGCTTGGCTATACTCGTTAAATATATTTGAAGGGTACCACCGCGCGGCTATACCCTTTAAATAGCATAATCTTGATTTCTCTTTTTATAGTTGTGTTTTAATTGCTATTTACTTAGTGATTAAATAGTATTTAAATATTTGATTAAATAAAAATAATAAAAATAATAATTACCATTTATTGAGTAATATAATTTAAGAAGTTAATTACAATATTTAATTATTCACTAAAGAAATAATAATTAAAATATAATTACAAATGAAAGTAATTAAATAAGGCTAAGATATTATTTAATTACTAAAAATAAAATTTAAAATAAAAATTTATTGGACCTAAAGACACTAAATTTATATATATATATATATATATTTTTAAATCTCTCCTAACGAAATTTCATTGGCATAGGTCTATCCCGACGAAAGTTTGTCGGGACAGGTTTTCTTGGTTTTATTATTATTTTTAATTTTTATGATCACTCACTGGATTAGACCTTTCGACCCGATGAGCTTGACAATTGTTATCAAACTGAAATGGCTATCAAACTGGCCCTAAATGAAGTAAGAGGTAGTTGAAGTTTTTGGTATTGGAAAGTGAAGTGAATGCATCTTTATACAAGGGCTTGTGCGTCATGGGCAACAGAAGGTCTACATTTTCTAAGAACTAGGATTGATTTTGTAGAGATCTGAAGAAGTAGAAGTAGCAGAAGAACCAATCCACGTTGCATTCGATGAACGAATGAGGCTCTGAGTTCCAGTTGAGCTCTCTTGGGCAATCTGATCAAACTGGTTTCTCAGAGCTGTTAACCTCATTTCATCACCATAAATACTTGGATCCATAATCAGTTCATGAACAGCAGTCTTCCCTTCAAGCATACTCACTACAGAAGACATAGTAGGCCTAAGGGCTGGTGCAGGATTGGTGCATAGCAGAGCCACTTTAACCATTCTAATTGCCTCTTCCTTACTGAAATTGGACCCCAACCTTGGATCTACCAGGTCCATTAAATTCCCTTTTTGTTGCAAAACAAGGGCCTGAAAAAACAGAGAAACCAAACTCATATAAGGATGACCAAATTTGAGTGGAGAAGTCTTTCAAGTAACAATGGCCACAAAACTGTGATTTTAGTTGCATGTACTGAAGGAATTTAAAATGAAGATCCACTTACCCAATCCACAAGGCATACAAAATTCTCATTTGGTCGATATTTCATGTTGTTCTTTCCAGCAACAATTTCTAATGCAACAACACCAAAGCTGTAGACATCTGCTTTGTAGGTTAAATAACCCCATAGTGCATATTCAGGCGCCATGTATCCTCTGCAGAAACGATAAAAAAATAACCTCACATTCAACACTTTTGTGATCAAAGAGCATTAAACGAAATTAGACTCGGAAGCTTACATAGTTCCAGCAACTCTGGTGCTAATGTGTGTGTTCTCCTCTTCATCAAGCTTGGCCAAACCAAAGTCTGAGATCTTAGGGCTAAGGTCATGGTCCAGTAATATATTCGTAGTTTTGATGTCTCTATGCACAACCTTCAGTGCAGATTCCTCATGCAAAAAAGCCAAACCTCTTGCTATGCCCAAGCATATTTTCTGCCTTGTAGGCCAGTCCAATTTTAATGGACCTTCCTCTGGACCTGCAACCAACATAGATTCCCAGTTAAGGGATTGTTTATTAGAACAAATACACCATTTCAGTGTTTGTTCCTCGACTTGATAAGCTTACCAAACAAAGCACGTGCAAGGCTATTGTTTTCCATGTATTCATATACCAACAGTAGTTGATTTGCTTCAATGCAGCACCCATACAATCTAACAAGATTCGGATGTTGTAAACCAGAAATCATGCCTATTTCATTGACAAACTCACGGTTTCCTTGCTTTGATTTTGAAGATAGTTGCTTAACTGCGATTATATTACCATCCAACAATATACCCTGCATAAAAATATACTTTACTAATTTTCAGTTATAATAAAGTATAGGCCTATAAGTAAGAAACAGAGATAATTAATCCAAGAATAGAGGAAAAAAATATAAGGGATGGGGTTGTACAGTACCTTGTAGACAGACCCAAAACCGCCTTCCCCAATTTTGTTTTTAAGATCAAAGTTGTTAGTGGCAGCTTTAATTTGCCTGAAGGTGAAAAATCCAGTTTGCAGATCCAGTTCTCTAAGAGCTGTCCAAGGAGCGAGGTTAGGATATTAACAATGTCTTACGTATTTACAACAGTTCTTTTGAACTTAGTGTCTGAGAGTGTATTTTCCTAGTTATGTGGCATTTGAAAGAATAATGAGAACAATGTACTACGTGAAACTTTCACAGTAGCTTAATAGCACCTTTTTCCCTTGATGTCTTGCTATCCAGACTGCCTTTCCACCAAAGAATGCCTAAAATCAAGAAAATGAGGCACAAAACCAAAGCTCCAACTGAAGCTCCCACCACAATAGGTACCTTGCTTTTCTTATCATGAGGAGGCGTGAACTCTACAAAATTATAGAAAATGAAAAGCAAAAAAAAAAGGTTACAATGACATAAGCTTCCGTCTATGATAAATTGTGTGTGCGCGTGTGTGTATGGGAGAGAGAACTAAAGTTTGCAACTCAGAATATACCAGATTCTAGAGAGATAGCTGATATAAGAGGACCGTATGTTCCTCTCTTTGGAGAAGCTGTTGTCCCTTTCCCAGACCAATGAAATCGGATCTCTAAAGTTTTGTTCTTGACCTCAACTGTTTTAAGTTCCTTAATGACTTCCTTATCAACCCCTTGTGCTTCCTTTTCAATGTCAAAATCCTTCCACACCAGTTTCTCCTGTAACAAACTTTATCAATCAGAAATCATCTCACTTAGCATAGACAGTGCATAAACAATGGGATTGGCTACCTGAATATAGACATCAAACATCCGTCTTCCAAGACTGTAAAAAGATCTATTGCCTCGGATTATTATCTCCGAAAAGTGAAGTCTCACAGTATAGTTTCCATTTCCGAAACAGCGTGCATAATACGTGAGAGAAAGAGGAGAGAGGCGTGCACTTGTGTACAACTCAGAGTTGTTCATTCCAAGTGTGGATGCATTATTTGCTATGTAGTCATTAGAGGTGGGGTTAGCATCCCAGAAATGTCCAGTAGTACTGATTCCCCAGATAGGTCTCACAGGAACAAATTTTGCTGCACCTCCTAGGTCTGGATCCCCTTCAAAGTTAATTCCTCCAATGGTGGTTGCCTTTCCACCGCAATTTATATGTAATGAGTACCGATCTATTCAGTAACAACCAAGAAAAAACACCACATAAAATATAATTAGATTAAAGCAAGTGTTTGAGTAGATAAATGAAATTAAAATAGTCTTATCAACCATTTTCCGTCATATCATACAAAAACTTAAATTATTAACCTAGTTCTTCAACAAAATCTGCACTAAATTAAATAAATAAAAAGCAAACTCCAGTTGGGTAAGTACAGCATATAACTTATAATCATATTTGAATGTAAAAGATATTTTGTTACCTTTTGGACAAGGATAGCTGTTCAGGCACTCTCCAAATAGTCTAGATAAGTGTAGTGAAAATCAGCTTATGTAAATTTGAAGTTGACAGAATGAAAAGAAGAAAAAAATCGCGTCATCACTGAATTAAGTTAGAAGCTTACGAGTTGTCTCGCGCAGAAAAGCTTTTGAACAAGTTCCTGATACGTGCGAAATCAGTTAGGTTCAAAAGAAAATTAAAGGTGAGTGAAGACAGAAAACTGTGCTGAGTACGCCAACTGAAGAGAAAACTGTGCTCACAGGGTTTCTCTACAAGAAGCTGGCTCAGAGCTCTGAGAAAAATTATTGTACGAAACATCTAACTGGCTGCACACAGATATAGTAAAATTGTAAGACTCCGCCAGAAACAGAATGTGCATCAGACCTCTAAAGAGGTCAGGAGATTAAACTCCACTCAAATTAAGAAGTTCCCGTAATTCTAAATATATCTGGAAAATAAAACCCAAGCAAATCTTATATAACATGGAAAACATACTAATGACTATCTCTGCTCTTGATCCAGTCTGGAATAGACCCAGTAAGCAAGTTGCTTGTTAGATACCTATTCAGAAAGCAGTTACATAGTCACATTCAGTTAAAGTAAAATGCCAGTTACATGGATGAGGATATTCCAAAAAGGCCCTAGCACCGTGATGTATCACGAAAACACAACATGCATGAAATTTACATTTCTTACAAGTACTGCAAGTTTGTCAGGGTCGCTAAATCAGGAATGTCTCCTTCCAATCTGTTGAAGCTGAGATCTCTGCAAGAAATAAGAAGGGTTATGTTTAAGAACCCAAAGTTTATTACTTGGATGCTTAACTGAAAAAAATTGAACTCATCAACCAACTTGTGATCAAGAAACTATTAAATAATTGTCTGCTGTTCAATTGAACAAGAAAAAAAGAAATGAAGAAATATTACAATATTTTCAATGTTGTCATTGCTGATATATAAGCAGGGATGCGTCCAGATAAGTTACAGCTCCTCAGCATTCTGCAACATAACTATCTATTAGCACAAGTGCAGCTAAGCGTTGACTAGTCTAAAATTATAATTAATAAATAAAAGAGAACATTTTCAAGACTTACAAACTTCCCATGCCTGTCATACTACTCAAGGGTGGAAATTCTGAACCCGTTCCATTTATGTCACTGATCCTTCTGCATTTAATTGCATCATGAACCATTGTTTAAAAAAGAATAAAAAATCCCCGTTATAGGAAGCTATAATTAACTAGTAAATTAGTGTTAATGCAACTTAGGATTGAATGCAGAACTCACAGTTCTGTTAAATTACTCAAGGCAGAAATGTTAGACGGAATGGGCCCTTGGAGACCACTAGCTTGGATCTCTCTGTCAACAACAGAATTCAAAACGAATAGATGTTACACCAGAAAATTTCTACATCCTAACAATTTACAATATGGGATAGAAAAATCACTTACAATTTCTGAAGTTGCTTCCAGCTTTGAATAAAATCAGGTATTCTTCCTGTGAAGTTGTTACTGCTAATCCTACTGCATAAGGAGAAAGATTGAATAGCATAAAGTTGAAGATTTATTAACATGCCAAATTTAAAGTAATTAGAATTAAAGCAATGTTAAGGGTACAAACACTTACAGTTCTGTTAACTTAGTCAGATTAGTAAGAGCCAGTGGCAACTCTCCTGTGAGATTATTTGCACTAAGAATGCTGCAGATACCAATGCCAACTTATCAACTGGTACTTGCATATTCAACTTATTTAATATTTAAAAATCAAGAATTAAACAAAAGAAAACTGAGGGTGAAAGGAGAAAAAAAGAAAAAAGAAAAGAGGCTTACAGATTGTTCAAGTTAACCAATTTCCCAAGCTCAGGAGGAACAGTTCCAGAAAAGTTGTTATTCTCCAAGCTCCTGAAAACAGATTCTCCTTCATCACACTAGGCTAAAATCAAATGAAACTTAAAATTGATTTTGACAAATAATATGAGGTGGTAAAGAGAGATAGAGCCAGAGCATACATATATATTAGGGTGCTTATGTTTCCCAAGTAGCCAGGGATTGGTCCTGATAAATTGTTCACAGTAATGGACCTGCACAGTGTACACATTTTGTCAGTTCAGTTAATATAAGCTATTATTGGCTAACCTTGCATGAAGTTCAGAAATCCTTTACAGATATTCCAACTTTGTAGAAGCCCATTCATGTGGTATGGTACCGGTAAGGTAGTTCCTGGTAAAATCTCTGTAAACAAGAGTAGAAGATATTAGTAATAACATTACCATTTGTGGAAATGATATAAAAAACGTTTTCAGATGATAGATGCTATTAAAATTAAAATTTACAACTGAAAACGTTTCCCTTACACTCTTGTTAGGTAGGGTAACTTTGCAGCAGATGGTGGAACTACACCAGCAAGATCTTGCCCTTTAAGAAAACTGTATCACAAAAATGTCAGAGATCATAAGAACATAAAGAGTCTCCATTCTGAATCTTCTCCATAGAAAAATAATGAAAACCGGATTGAAATGCTACATAAGATAATTAAACCAATAAATAAACAAACAGAAAATGAGTACAAATAAAAGCTTTCAGTTGACGTACATGCTGACAACATGGCAGAAACCATCAGGGTAGGAGCAGTTGCATATGAGAGTGTTGTTGTATAAAGGCAAGTCAGCAGATTTTGGGGTAGCCCAATTTGTATCATTGCTGCATGGATCTATGCTGAAGTTCCAGTCTTTTTTTCCCACTTGTGTTGCTATTTGTTTTAGTGCTTCCACTGCGCACACAAATCAAATCATGAATCTTTTTATATTTTTTCCATTTTCTGTGTTTTTTATGCATCAGCCGAGTTTATTTTTCATTTTTTAAAGAAAAGTAGAGTGATTGAGCCTGATATTGGCCCAAATTAATGTTGATGCCAAAATATTAATAGTGATTGGGCTTGGGCCTTCTGCCATCCACCATTCTAACCTAGTAAACTTCTCTAGAAGGTGCAGATTATGCTCTGTATCTCTCTCAATCATTGAATTTCATATCCATTTCCAGTTGTAATGATGAAAGAAAAAAAATTCAGGTCCAACTCTTTAGCTTCTTTCATTTCGTTTTCGATTATAAAGTTGTAACCTTTATGCTTTTGAATCAATATAAATTTAGGATGAAAACAAGTTCTTCCTTTTTTTAAATCTTTTTTGTAAGTACTAACCATCATGTAAAATTATATGGGTTCTAATTTTTGTTTATACCGACAAACATTGAACTGGGAGTGCTCTAACACAGTAACACTAGAAAGACTAAAATCTTCTACCAATTCTCAATCAAACAGACCAACTTTTGCATTGAGCACTCTGTTCTCTGCTGTTCAACACCACTAAAAAAAAAAGAACCCCAGGCTTCATTTTTTTCAAAACAAAAACAAAAACAAAAACTGAGGCTTTAGTGCATAGATTTTGAGTATCAGCAATACCAACTTGAAAAAGAAGAAGAGCCAGTAATTACCTTCTGCAGAAGCAAGACGTAGAGATTGTGCTTCAACTTTGACTGTGGATATGCAGAAGCAGAGGACCAAAATGGCTACCAAAATGACAAGATCCATGGTGGCTTTTGAAACATCAAAATGAAATCTTGCCATCTCAATCCCTGATGTAATATATCAATTCCCTGATATCTGTATCATCCTTATTCTTTCTTGGCTCAATCTCAGTCTCAATCTCTGTAGTTAATGAAGGGTCCCTCTGAGCCTTTATGAGCCAATGGACTTTTGATGTGCGTGTACAATTTTATTATGTCTCTGACTTCGAACTACCTAGTTGGCCGATTTGATTACATTATTGTCGAGGGAGGTGTTTTGCTTTCCTTGACTATGAAAAGTTTTCCATTTCTTTTTTGAGGTTTTTTTTGTTGGGGCCCATGAAAAGTTTTCGAATCTTTGTTTGGTACGTGAAATTTGACAACATGGACCCCTTTGATTAGTATCCAATTTGTTTAACATGTGTCTTAATCTTGTTCCTTTCCATTTTTATAGACCATTTTTTGTTTTTTATACGAAAAATCATGAGATAAGGAAAAATCGAACACACAACCCTAAGAAATAACTTTACGTAAAAACTTCTTAGGCGGTCTTAGTAGAGAGCTATTTTACCCAATATCGGATTAATTTCTTTGCTCTTGATTAATTAATGGGTTAATGTCATATCCCCATTTCGAGTTGGCAGTGAGCCGTTTGATTTGTTTCCAAGATTGGAAATGCCCAGCTCTGTATAGCTTTAGACCTTCACCTGCCCATTGCTATATAATATCAACATACAACTGTCTTGTTTAGATTAAAAAAAATATCGATCATAATTGTCTTGTCAGAAGAATATTAATATTTATTCAATAATGCTAGTTCCACGCCAGGCTCCCATTTTCTTCTTATTATTTAAAGAAACAGAATTCATAAAAATAATAAACTGATTAAGCTAAAACGTATATGGTCCGGGGAGGATTTCTGATCTCGTAATAAGAAGTCGAACAAAACAAATAATAATAATTTCATTGGCTACGTTATACATACATATATATATATATATATAAAGTCTCTGGTTGAATTTTCTGTGGGAACTATACATAATTAGTCTTTGAACTGCCGGTATGTTTTATACTGAAACAGGATGTGAGAGCATGATGCATGCATGTGTAGCATGCTAAGCCATGCCATCAAGCCATCAAGCCATCAAGTAATCAGAAATAGTAATATACTGGTGGGAAGTTTTATACTATTTCTGATTGAGTTTTAGACTGGTGCATACAAAAACTATCACTTGGTATTTAAGTGGACAAGTTTTGTTCAACAATCTGATTGAGTTTCTTGATAGCAAACCTTATCCTTTGGAAAGTTGATAAGATAATGACTTGCTCAATTATTGATAAAATATTGTTAATCTAAAATAATTAATGTATTGTTATTTAGGAAGAAAAAAAAAAGTCAAAATCATTGGTCGGGTCAAACAATTCAACCGGAACCATTCAAACTTTCCTCTCCCAGCTCTAATTCCTTAGAACTGAAACCGATGCTTGCCATGCCAGGTGGAATTGACAATTGTATCGTACTTAAAAATTCATGCCTTTTTTCCCCACTTTGCTCTGCTCTGTACTACTACTATTTAGTTTATCATTACACGAGCATTTGCGTAGTCAAGCGCGAAGAAATGTTTATTGTTGAAGAGTTTGTAGAACTTGCCTTTAAAAACCGACTTGTAAGAAAATAATATTTAAGAACTCATAAACCACTCTAGGATACGTTATTTTTCCAACGTGAAATCTTGAGTCTTAGCATTTACATTAGCAAGAACTAGTACTGGGATTGATTTTATAGAGATCAGAAGACGTCGTAGTAGCAGAAGAACCAATCCATGGTGCATCTGATGATGAAGGAACAAGGCTCTGAGTTTGACTTGGATTCTGTGATGAATTGTGATCAAACTGGTTTGTCAACGCTGTTAGCCTCAGTTCATCACCGTAAGTACTTGGATCCGTGACCAATTCATGAACAGCCGTCCGCCCTTCAAAGCATACTCACTACTGCAGACATGGTAGGCCTAAGCGCTGGTGCTGCATTGATGCATAAGAGAGCAACTTTAATCATCCTAATGACCTCTTCCTCACTCACATCGGACCCCAACCTTGGATCCACCAGCTCCAATAATTCCCCTTTTTGTTGTAAAACAAGAGCCTGAAATTTAGCAGAGAAAAGAGATTTGAAAATGGAAAAGCAACTCATAGAAGGAAAGAAGGATGACCAAGTTGGAAGGAATTTGAATGAAGATCCATCTTACCCAATCCACAAGGCATACAAAGTTCTCATTTGGTCGATATTTCATGTTGCTCTTTCCAGCAACAATTTCCAATGTAACAACACCAAAGCTGTAGACATCTGCTTTGTAGGTCAAATAACCCCATAGTGCATATTCTGGCGCCATATATCCTCTGCACACAAAAAACGATTGTTTTCCTTAGCTGGGTGGAGAAAAGTTCATAAACAAAACTATGCTCTGAAATGCAGTTCAGAGAAAAAAACAGTATAGCTTACATAGTTCCAGCAACTCTAGTGCTAATGTGGGTGTTCTCCTCTTCGTCAAGCTTGGCCAACCCGAAGTCCGAGATCTTGGAGTTAAGGTCTCGGTCTAGTAATATATTTGTAGTTTTAATGTCTCTATGTACAATCTTCAGTGCTGATTCCTCATGCAAAAAGCCAGACCTCTTGCTATGCCTATGCATATATTCTGCCTTGTAGGCCAGTCCAATTTTAAAGGACTTTCCCCCGGAACTGCAACAAACATGGATTCCCAATCAATGATCTCATTTTTGTTTTTCTTAATACACCATTTCAGTTTTTTGCCACTGGACTTGATAAGCTTACCGAACAAAGCACGTGCAAGGCTGTTGTTTTCCATGTATTCATATACCAACAGTAACTGGTTTGATTCAATACAGCATCCATACAATCTAACAAGATTTGGATGTTGTAAACCAGAAATCATGCCTATTTCATTCACAAATTCTCGATTTCCTTGCTTTGATTTGGATGATAGTTGCTTAACTGCAATTATAGTACCATCCAATAATATACCCTGAAATAAATACAGTTTAGTAGTTTTCAAGCATGATATGTAAGGCCTATAAGTAAGGAACTATTTATATGGTACCTTGTAAACAGATCCAAAACCGCCTTCCCCGATTTTGTTTAGAGGATCAAAGTTATTAGTGGCGGCTTTAATTTGCTTGTAGGTGAAAAAACCAGTTTGCAGATCCAGTCCTCTCAGAGCTATCCACAAAACAAGGTTAGAATATATTGGTAATGTCGTTGAACTTAGTATCTGGGTATGTGTTTTCTAGCTAAATGGCATTAGAAAGACTGAGACCAAAGTACTACTTGAAATTTTCACAGTAACTTAGTGGCACCTTTTTCCCTAGATATCTTGCTATCCAGACAGCCTTTCCACCAAAGAACGCTGAAAATCAAGAAAATGAGGAACAAGACCGAAGCTCCAACTGAAGCTCCCACTACAATAGGTACCTTGCTTTTGCTACCATGAGGAGGCTTGAACTCTAGGAAATAAAAAAGTGAAAAGAAAAGATCAGCAACAGAGAATACAATTTTCAGTTCTATGAGATGTCGTCATATGTCCGGTATATCAATTCATAGCAGTATCTTGTAAGATGTTGTAAAGACCAAACTGAGCTTGAAAGATCGAAAAGAAAGAGATAAATTGCACAGTTTCTTGTTATTTAAGGCAATCAAACTTTCCATCTGGGTACTTCTTCCTTTAGTATACTGTACTTGATGTACTATATATTTCCAATCTATTGCAATTAACATTTCCCGTATGGAACGAGTACAAACAAGTGGGATATAATAAATGTTTTAAACAAACTTAAGATTGTGTCCTTGAGAGAGAGTTAATGTTTCCAATTCAGAATATACCAGGCTCTATAGAGATAGCAGATATAAGAGGACCCCATGTTCCTTTCTTTGGAGAAGCTGTTGTCCCTTTCCCAGACCAATGAAATCGGATCTCTAAAGTTTTATTCTTAACCTCCACTGCTTTACTTTCCTTAATGAGTTCTTTATCAACGCCGTGTGCTTCCTTTTTAATTTCAAAATCCTTCCACACCAGTTTCTCCTGTAACAAACTTATCAATCAGAAATCATATTTTGTTGCATATAGTGTACAAACAGTATGCTTGACTACCTGAATATAAATATCAAATATCCGTCTTCCAACACTACGAAAAGATCTATTGCCTCTGATTGTTATCTCGGAAAAGTGAAGTTTCACGGTGTAATTGCCGTTTCGAAAGCAGCGTGCATAATACGTGAGAGAAAGAAAAGAGAGGCGTGCACTTGTGTACAACTCAGAGTTTTTCATTCTTAGTATAGATACATTATTTGCAATGTAGTCTGTACCAGAGGAGTTAGAACCCCTGATATTTCCAGTGCTACTGGTTCCCCAGATAGGCCTCTGAGGAACGAATTTTGCTGCACCTCCTGGGTCTTGATCATCTTCAAAGGTGACTCCTTCAATGATGGTTCGTTTTCCACCACAATTTATATGCAACGAGTACTGATCTATTCAGTAGCAAGCAACAGAGAAATGACATCATAAAAATTCTAATAAGATGAAGTCAAATAGTTGACTACTTAAAATTCTCATTAGAAAGTATTGTATTGATTGTAAACCAGTTTCTGTCACATGAAAACTTAAATTATGGACTAATTCTTTTGCAAGAACTTTAAAATATTAAATAATTAAAAAAGCAATGCCCGGTTGTATTGTATTGTTACCTTCTGGACATTGAAGGTTCCTCAAGCACACTCCAAATGATCTACATTAGTGCGGTACACAATCAGCTGATGCAAATGGAAAGGACAAAAATGGCTTCTCTGATGCAAATGGATTAAAAGTTTAGAACCTTACGAGTTACTTTGTGCAGAAAAGCTTTCAAACAGGTTTCTGATAAATATTTCAAAGAAAAATGCATTATTATGGGTGAATGAAGACACCAATGTGTGCTAAATAATCACTAACTAGAAATATGTTCCTACAGTGTTTCTCGGCAAATAGTTGGCTCAGAGCTCTCAGAAAAATTATTGTAAGAAATATCTGTCGGGCTGCATACAATACAATAAAATTGTAAGTCAGAACAGCTCCACCAGAAAAGTTGCATTTTGGAGTATCAATAAAAATTGTAAATATGGTTAAAGGATCAATTCCACAACAGAAAATCCTAAAAGTTGATCATTTAAAATTTTAAATGTTTCAAACATAGAAGTTCATATATTTCTAACTATACAATAAACGTTACGCTAACTTAAAAGTATATATTTCTCAGGCTTCAATAAGAAAAGAAAACTCAAGAAAATCTGTATAGGATGGAAAACATACTGGAGATAATCTCTGCTCTTCATCCAGTCTGGCACAGACCCGGTGAGCCAGTTGCTTGTTAGATACCTATCAAATGCACAATGACATTATGTAAAATTATGTAAATATAATATAGAGTTGTAATTTAATATATGTAAATATCATATAGGCAGGGGAGGCCGCCCCGCCATGCATTATGATGTCTGCTGGTGACCTTCATGAAATTCACATTTCTTACAAGTACTGCACGCGTTGCAGATGTTCATAGTCAGGAGTATTAATATTTCCTTCCAATTTGTTGAAGCTGAGATCTCTGCAAGAAATCAACTAAAAAGATTGTCATAACTCATAAGATCCTAAAGTTCCATTACTTGGAAGCTTAAATGAACGAAAAAAAACTATCATTAATCAACTTGCGCTGTGCATTTGAACAAGATGAAAAACAAAGAATAACAGTGTTACAATTTATTCAAATTTTCCATTGCTGATATATAAGCAGGGATAGATCCATATAAATTGCAGCTCCTCAGCGTTCTGCAACATAACTTCGTATTATTAGCCTAACTCAGCTAAGAGTATTACATTACAACATGAAAATGTAGAACAATTTCAAGACGTACAAGTCTTTAAAGCCTGTTATATTACTCAAGGGTGGAAATTTTGAACCCCCTCCATTTAAGTCACTGATCCTTCTGCATTGAATTTCACCATGAATCGTTGTAAGAAAAACAAGTCACTGTGGTATGAAGTTATCATAAAATTTTCAAATCAGGATTAAGGTTCTTTAGTGTTAATGCAATGCAGAACTCACAGTTCTTTTAAATTACTCAAGACAGAAATGCTAGACGGAATGGGCCCATAGAGACCACTAGCTTGGATCTCTCTGTCAACAACAAAATTCAAAATCAATCAAGATTACACAAGAAGAGTTGTTAGAATATGTTATAGGAAAAGGCACTTACAATTTCTCAATTTGTTTAAAACTTTCCAAAAAATCAGGTATTCTTCCCGTGAAGTTGTTACTGTTAATACTACTGCATGAAGGGAAAGATTGAAAAACATAAAGCTGAAGATTTCCAAACATGAAAAACAATGTTAAGGGTACAAACACTTACAATTCTCTTAATTTAATCAAATTAGTGAAAGCCACTGGCAATTCTCCTGTGAGATTGTTTGCACTGAGAGTGCTGCAGATACCAAGCCCAGTCTTAATAACTTATCCACTGCAACTTGCTTTACCATTAATATTAAAAATAAAGAGTTAGAATATCAAACTGTGGATACAAAAGAAAAAGGGAGCTTACAAAATCTCCAAGTTAACCAAATTCCCAAGCTCAGGAGGAACAGTTCCAGAAAACAGGTTACTCTCTAAATTCCTGGAATTAAATTCTTCGTCACAGCAGGCTAACCGAGATGAAACTTAAAGTTGATTTGACAAATAAAAAAGAGTGGTCAAGAGAGATAGAGGCAGAGCATACAGATAGATTAGAGTTTTAATGTTCCCCAAGTAGCGAGGGATTTGTCCTGATAAGTTGTTGACATTCACGGACCTGCATGCAGTTTCCTCATTTTCTTAGTAAAATTAATAAAAGCAATTAGAATTGGCTAACCTTGAACTTGAAGGTCAGAAGTCATTTTACAGAAGTTCCAACTTTGTAGAAGCCCATTCAGGCGGTAAGTACCACTGAGGTAGTTCCTGGTGAAATCACTGTAAAAAAGATAAAATTAAAATAAAATTATACTATTACTAAGCTTCGCAGATTATTAACTGAGAAAGATTTCCCTTACACTTGTGTTATGTAGGGCAACTTTGCAATAGATGGTGGAAGTACACCAGCAAAATCTTGCCCTTTAAGAAAACTGTATAACGAAAATGTTCAGCGCTCATAAAATTCAAAACCCACATGCACAATTGCACATACACTGATTTAATGATAGGCATGCACAACACAGCTCAAATGTAATTCACCCAAAGAACAAAAAGAAAAATCAAATCAAATCTCTTGCATGCTATAGTTGAGTGGACTATTCTGCAAACACAATGTTCCACCCCTAAATTACTCTAATGTACGTGAAAAGGGGGATTCGAACTTTAAGTGCAAGAGGATGGGCTCTTGAAAAGTTGAGAAGGGAAATTAAATTCATAGATAAACAACAGAAAACATATAAATAAGTAAACTTTGAGTTGACGTACATGCTGACAACGTGGCAAAACCCGTCGGGATAGGAGCAGTTGCATTCGAGGGTCTTGTTGTAGATAGGGTTGGCAGTAGAGTTTAGGGTATCCCAGTTTGTGTAATTGATGCATGGGTTTATGTTGAAGTTCCAGTCCGTTTTCCCCAGTTGTTTTGCTATTTCTTTTAGTGCTTCCTCTGCGCAACCAAATCAAACCCATGATCATATAATTGAACATTTTCCAACATAATCAACTCAAATAGCATTTTTTTTTTTTTTTTTTTTTTTTTTTTTTTTTTTTTTTTTTTTTTTTTTTTTTTTTTTTTTTTTTTTTTTTTTTTTTTTTTTTTTTTTTTTTTTTTTTTTTTTTTTTTTTTTTTTTTTTTTTTTTTTTTTTTTTTTTTTTTTTTTTTTTTTTTTTTTTTTTTTTTTTTTTTTTTTTTTTTTTTTTTTTTTTTTTTTTTTTTTTTTTTTTTTTTTTTTTTTTTTTTTTTTTTTTTTTTTTTTTTTTTTTTTTTTTTTTTTTTTTTTTTTTTTTTTTTTTTTTTTTTTTTTTTTTTTTTTTTTTTTTTTTTTTTTTTTTTTTTTTTTTTTTTTTTTTTTTTTTTTTTTTTTTTTTTTTTTTTTTTTTTTTTTTTTTTTTTTTTTTTTTTTCCACACGTGCACAATTGCACATACACTGATTTAATGATAGGCATGCACAACATAACTCAAACGTAATTCACCCAAAGAACAAAAAGAAAAATCAAATCAAATCTCTTGCATGCTATAGTTGAGTGGACAATTTGTTAGAAAGTAAATGTATTTTAGATAGGAAAGAAATTTGTAATTGATTCATATATCCAATCCTTCCCTTAGATGGAATTCCTAGATTGTAGGATTCCTTATTGTACAAGGAAAACTCGTGTATATATTTCTATGTTATTAATGAAATATTCATTCAAGCCAAATATATTTTTCTACACTATTCTGCAAACACAATGTTCCACCTCCTAAATTACTGTGTACGTGAAATGGGGATTCGAACTTAAGGACAAGAGGATGTGCTCATTACTCTGGCCGACTGGAGTAACCCACAACTGTGCCAAATTATATTAAGGTTTATAATGACAAAAAGTTCGTCTTGAGCAGATCAGACACACCTGCATCCTCTGCAGGGGTGGACTTGTCCACCTTGGGATCAGCTGCTGACATTGTAGAAGAGCCCTTCGCCCAGGCAAATGACTCTCTTGCTTTCTTAGCCTCTGTCAACCTCACTTCCAAAGGAATTAGCGACGATGAATCCACTCCATACTTGACTGCTCGTGACTCAACAGTTGAAACATGATGGTTGGATGGATGAGTAGACTGCCCAGATCGACTTCCAATCTTCGACTGGTACAAACGACTCAAATTTCAGAAAGGAGCATCCGCATCTCTTTGCCTCTCAACAAGTGAGCTAGATCGCGCACGGACTACTTTACGGAGCATATCACGATCTCCAAAACTCATCAGGCTTGAGCTCTCGAAGACTGACATTAGCCTTCCTCTTTTAGGGGAGTTTAGCAAAACACTCTTTATGTCCAGCAGGCAAATCATCAAGGCTCGGACCATCCTGCTTCCATCTATCGACATCCTTAGCAGGGGGCAGTCCACCAACTTTCTCCTGATTATCGCTCAGCAGACGCCAGCGGCCACCGCCGCTCCAATCGTCTTTGGCCGCCAGTCATGACGACAACCAGCCTGGTCCCACCCAACTGGTCCTCGCCTTGAAAAAGAGAAGACGAAGAAAAATTTACGTGCTCGACTTACTTTGGGATGCACGGCAACTCCTCTCTTCGACAAGTAGTACAAAATTCTCCAAGATCTTTCTCAAGCTAGAAAGTAGAGAAGTTAAGTTTGCGATGTAAGAAAGAGTGAAGAGAAGCCCTGTATTTATACAAGTTGGACAACCCGGGTCAAGAAGGAATCTCAAGCTCTTTCCTACTGGGAATCCAACTCCAACAACAGTCAGAAGCCTACACCAATTGAGAATCCGATCTACAAAAGGAGTCCAACTCACAGAAGAAAGCCCAGACTCAGTTGGAGAGCCCGAAAAAAATAATTTCATCTCCTACATGCCACACAAGCGTCACGCAGAAGCTGGGGGGCATTTGTGGGAGCAGATATTTTCGTCTCCAATCACAGCACGCCACGTGGAAAAGAAGATTATCTCTTTTAATTAATTAATTGAACCAGTTTATCTGGCCAATTAATTAATTGGGATAAATATCTTAATTAAATGATATTATCTTTATTTAATAAGATAATATCATTAATTAAGATATTATCCTAATAAAGAGAAGATAATGTCATTATCTCAGATATTATCTTCATAAAAAGAGATAATATCATTTAATTCAGATATTATCTCCATAAAAAGAGATAATATCATTAAATCATACATTATCTCATTCCGACTTGATCCCTACGAATTTGGGTAGAGAATAAACTCAGCATATTCTCTACGAAACCCTAGCCCCGAGGCTCCTATAAATAGATGACTTCATTCATCATTCAAGGTACATCTAAACCTACTCCTTATACCCAAGAAAAATACCCGAAGCTCTTTCTCCCTCTCCACTCTCCATATTTTCTCCACACGGCTCCGGCCACCACACACGGCTCCAGCCGCCCGGTTCACACCCTACATAAACACTACTCCGTACCCTTTGCTTAGCTATTGTTTTTCTACAAACACTCGAACTAACTTAGGCATCGGAGGGCCTTTGGCCAACACCCCCCGGGTGTGGTCTATTTACTCCAATCTATTTTACAGGAATCGAGGAAGAGAGAGAAGGAAGTTCGAAGGTTGAAGGATCTAGAAGCGAATATTCTCCCGTGAGATTATTTGCACAAACACTCATTACTCTGGCCGACTGGAGTAACCCACAACTGTGCCAAATTATATTAAGGTTTATAATAAACAAGAAAAGGAAATTAAATTCATAGATAAACCAAGAGAAAACATATAAATAAGTAAGCTTTGAGTTGACGTACATGCTGACAACGTGGCAAAACTCGTCGCGATAGGAGCAGTTGCATCCGAGGGTGTTGGCCATATCCCAATTTGCGTACTTGTCGCATGGGTTTACGCTGAAGTTCCATTCCGTTTTCCCCAGTTGTTTTACTATTTCTTTTAGTGCTTCCACTGCGCACGCAAATTAAACCCATGATCATATAATTGAATATTTTCCACCATAATCAACTCAAATAGCATTGATTAGATCCTGTTTGTTTGATTAACCCAGGATTATCAACGCTGATCTCCAAACAATTTGTGACATATGGTAATACCAACTAGGAGGTCATATTGATTTAAATTTGTGACATGGTTAGAGGTTCGAATTTCCCACCTCACACATTGATTTTTTTAATTTTATAATAAGGATAAGGTAATATCGAGCCCTCAATTATGACTGGGTAGGCCTGATACTGGCCAACTTGGTGCCAAAAAGGTGACCAGGTTTATTTTCATTTTTTAAAGAAAAGTAGAGTGATTGAGCCCAAATTAATGTTGATGCCAAAATACTAATAGTGATTGGGCTTGGGCCTCCTGCCACCCAACATTCTAACCTAATTGAGTCTCTGTCTCTGTTGTTTTGTCTATGACTTCGAACCTAGTTGGCCGATTCGATTACATTATTGTCGAGGGAGGTGTTGTGCTTTTTCTACCACTGAAAAGTTTTTCATTTCGTTCAGACCCAAAAAGAAAAGAAAAAAAAAAGTTTTTCATTTCCTTTTTGAGGATTTTTTTTTGTCGGGCCCGTGAAAAGTTTTTCGAATCTTCTTTTGATACGTGAAATTTGGCAACATGGACCCTTGATTATTCTAAAAGCCTTTGTATCACAAAACATTATTGAGGTTTATAAATCTATCAGATTGAGTCTTTTTTTTTGGTCATTCGTGGTCTTCAAGATTAGTATGTGTACTCATAAATAGTTCATGCCATCAATTTTCATAAATAAATAAAAAAACTTTGTTAATTTGCTGA